GACACTGCCTGTTTGTTTTTCCCACCCGTGTTCATACTTGAAGGGTCAGGAACTAGGAAGCAACCCCATTAAGCATGAGATTCTGAGGGCTCCGTCTGCGGCTGACAGCAAGAGGGGATCTGCCAGATAATGGAGGCCGATGCCGGCCCGGCCAATTCTTCTCCCCTTTGCAAAGCGCTGAACGACAGGCAGATTTCTCAGCTCCGAGCAGGCAGTCGCATTCACATGATAAATGTGTCCCTGGACACAGGAGCTTGTTGAGTGATATTTACCAGGGTCTCCGTGAAGGGCCCTCAGCTCCCAAGAGAGCTTTTCAAGCCTTCACTGCTCGCCCGTTCTGCTGCCGTCCGCCGGGCGGTGAGAAGAATAAAACCTCGCTCCCTGTCCCCAGTGTGGAGGGAGCCTGGTGATTTGTGGAGATGCTGCAAGTCCCCTGGCTTCTCTGGCTTCCTGTGTTCAAGCCCCCTCCCCCGCCGTGCCCCAGCCAAGAAGCAAGGAGTCAGTGAGGGCTTAGACCCTTAAAGGCAGGAAGGCTAGTGCCACAGACCTGAACAGAGCACAGACCCAGCTCTCCCTCCCGATGCTCCTTGGCAAGGTCCTCGGCCCCGCGTCACCTCAGGCGTCATAGATGGGGACAGTGGCAGCTGCCTCACAGAGTTGTTACATAAACAAAATGAAATCTGGGTAAAAATACTTTGCAAGTCTCTGGTTCAGTCATTCATTCATTCAGCACTTCCTAGTTGCCCACTTACTGCGTGAAGAGCCAGTTCCATTCTGCGGCCAGGAAGAGAAGCAGGTGGAGGCCAGGCCTCCCCAGTCCTTGGCTGGTTCTGGGGTGGAGCTGGTGTTTTTGTCTGGGCTCTCCAGAGAAAAGGGTGATAGCCGCACATGTATTGTTATGTAAATATAGATCAGGCGTAGTATACATTACACTGGGTGTCTTAGTATACATTATAGGGGCTATATTATTAAGTTAATGGAATACAAGGGGTCTTTAAGTTCATGGGAGATGTGTATTGAGAAAAAACTAGGGGACCAGCAGGTGGTGTGGTGGTTAAAGCACTGTACACTCCCACCTTGTCAACAGTGGTTGGAGTCCTGGACCTGGTGGCTTGCTTTCTCACTCCCCCTACCCCCCGTGTCTCTCTCTAGTCAAATTAAAATAATGAATGAATAAATAAATAAAATTAAATAAGTAATTCTTTAAAAGAAAGAAAGAATAATGTGCAGCCAACTCTGTGGTCTGGCGATTAAGGGGACGGTCTCACATGGTCAAACACAGTCTGAATTCCAGCCCTGGTGACTTGAAAACATGCCACGTGTGTGTGTGTACATCCCAAATCCTGACAGTGTGGAGAAATGGAGGAGAAAAGACGATGGCGTGGCCGGGCCCCTTTGGGGGTGCTCCCTCTCTGTCTCTCTCTGATGAGCACATCATCCTCTGGCAGTCAGGCAATTGATCAGTCAATGAAGTGGGAGTGGAAATGAAAAATTATATAAAAAAAAGGAAAACTATGAATTTCAATTTTTTGCAGCAAAATAAACTTGCACTCTGATTCCATTTTTCCATGAACTTTTGAAGTCCCCTTATATATATATAAAGCACAGATATGAATAAGATCTATTAATGTATGGATATAAAGAGGTAGAATGCTTGACGGTAAGGCACCAGCTCTCACGGTTGTGGAGACACTGTCCCCGAACTTGCAGTCAGCAAGCTGAGACCCAGCAGAGCAGTGGCGTACGTGCCACTCTGAGTTGGCGGCCACAGGTAGACCAGGGTCCCAGTTTGCAGACCAGGCAGAGAAGGTGGATTCTCCTGCTCTAGCTTTGCTCTACTCGTGCCTTCAGCGACCCAGATGGGGCCCACTCACACAGTTCTAAAGGGCAATCTGCTTTCCTCGGTGTAGAGCTGGAAGTGTTCATCTCATCCAGAAATACCTCACAGCCACCCCCAGGAGAGTGTTTATCCAAATTCCTGGGCACCCTGTGGCCCAGTCAAGTTGATATAGTTAGCCGTCTATTCTCATGGGGCACTTGGGTTGGTCATGCAGCTCTCTGCTGCACTGGGTCTCTTCAGCCTCCAGAATGACCCTTCTCTGTCTTAGGCACCACCCACCTGGCCACGTAAAATGGGTCATATTCAGTTTAAGCCCAAATCTTCATGCACGAAGTCTCTTCCCTGTCAGCGACAGGAAGTCCACTCCTCCTAGAGTCCCATATGTCCCACACGGGAGGCCTATGAGACTGTCCTCTGCTCTAGTGCCCTGCTGCTCTCTGCCCATCCACTCTGGGC